GCCATGTCATTGTTATTACGACAATTTTATAGTGGATTTTCATCATTAAATTGATTCGATTCACGTTTTGGCATAAGCAAATCTTTAATAGTAAATAATACATGTTAAGTAATATATATAAGTACAAAAGTAATATGTGTTTTTATATTATAGTTTGTATATAATTTATTTTAAGATAATGTATACTATATATATAATTTTTCTAATGACATTTTAATTATCACTTTTCCGGTGAGTAAAAACGTGAGTGGACAATTTTTAGGTGAACTTGTTTGTTTTTTTAGTTGAAATTAATAAATTTTTGGATTCTACTATATAAACTTTATATATAACACAACTAGTTATTTATTAGGTCAGTTCAAACAAACAGTTTGTTTACTTCTGGATAGTGTCTTAATACCTTCGTCAAGTTTCACATGTATTAGAGGGTGAAAGTATAATAATTTAATCAAAAATACACCAGATATATAGATCGTATATCTTGTGAAACCGTTAATGTTTTCATATAAGTAATATTTTTAATATTATGTACTATATATAGCCATGGCTGATAATCTCGGTTTATAAAATGTTTATAAAAGCCAGATCGGTTTATAAAATTTAAGATATGGACTTGTAACAATATACCAAAAATAAAATAATAAAAATATTTTTAAAACTCAGAGTTTATAAAAGTTAGAGAAAAATTAAAAAAATTTTCCCGAGACTAAGGTTAATTTTTGTCAAAATGCGTTCTGGTTGTAACAGAATGGATCGAATACTATATATAAATTGCACGCTTAAATCAGCTCAAAATAACTTCAAACTAAGAATTATATGCAACAGAAATTACAGAATTAAGACATCGGAATGGAATGTCTAAGTTGATGAAGAATATGTAGCGATCGGTATTGAAGATATATATATAAAATCTATAAACATATATGCTAATGCTTGTATAATTTCAATATCGATTGTTACATATTCCTCATCAACTTAGATATTCCATTCCGATGCCTACATTCTGTATATATATATAATCCAGTTTTAAATACGTAACAAAATCTTCAGCTCTCTATTTTCTGTGCTTATATATGATATGAGTCAGATATGAGCAGTGCGACGAGTGCAGTTGTAGATAGACATATAGCTTTTCAAAACATTCCTAAAACTAATTATGAAAAAGTTTTAAATTTCTAAATATTTCATAGAATATACATATACACATAAAATATTCGCTTTCTGAAACTAAAGAGTCATCTATTTTAGATGATGATCGTAATGTTTCAAAGCGCCAATTGCGTGACGATTGTTTCTTGCGTAATCCCTAATAAAAAGTCTAGTGGTGACAAATGCATAATTTTAGTGGCTTGGCGGCATTTTCTCAAGTTAGTTAGTAATCGTGTGGTTATGGCGATCAGAATCAACAGTTTGTCACATTTTTGAAATTTTTCAAAATGAGTGGGGCTTTTAAACCAAACACCTTATCATATAGTGATTTTTTGTGAATGGAGGAGTGTTCTTGCAGAAGTTAATTTTGGATTTCTGTTGCCCCCGATACGGCAATTTCGTTTGATATATCATCACTTAAGTTATTCAATGCAAAAATCACCACCATTTTTATAATTAGTTAAATTATAATTAATTAAACTCACATGTGATGCCTAGAATTATAGTTTTATCTGTTTTATGTTAACAAAACTATGCTGTCAAATCATGATCACGAAAATAACGCTTTACTTTTAAGATTAGATAAGTTTTAAATATATAGCAGATCACTGCGTCCAAAGTAGACGTACAACTCACACTGAACTAACAGAAGACATTTAACTTTTAAATGAAGGTTAGAACGTCCCTTGTTAAAGAGTTTATTATATTAGATTATGGCAAGAATTACGCTTCTAACTGTTTAAGATCATGCACAGTCGTATGTGGCTAGAAACCTCATCTCTTTCAAGCAAGGACATCAATCTGTCACCTAAGATAAATTCTTTCTGTGTAAATAGTAACGTAAATTATTTCATCAGATAACCCACCTTTAACTTGAGTTTTGTCCTACTGATGAGGTTTATATCTTTATACAAAACAGATTATACAACCCTGAGTTTTAGTTTTTAATCAATTATTTATCACCAATTGTGATAAATCTTTAGATATATTGTAATTTATTATAAATTATTATTATAATATAATTACAAAGATTTTAATACTATTTATTTACAAACAGTTATATATAATTTGTAAACTTATTTTTCTACTAAAAAATAAAATCTTTTTTATCAATCAAAATCTTCAAAATTGAGTACTCCACGTCTATGATAGAAAGGAAAGAGATCCTTCATAGCTTCGACGTATAAGGGATTCGTAAAAGTTCGCATTCGAAATTGTTCTCCAAATTCATCTGTTCGCATCAGTGAGTGTATATTACTGTCCTTATCGGTCGGTAATAGTACGGCAACCAGATGATTGTAGACAGCCATGAAAGCTAAAATTAAAGAGTTTAAATTTATAAATATATTTTTAAAAAACATTACTATTATTTACAATGGTATATATATGTATGTAGAAACGAATTTTGATTACTTTAAGTATATGTATATATATATTATATCTATATATATTATATATATATATATATACCTATAATTATTGTATAATACATGGAAATAAATACAAAAGTTATAGCGGTTTAATTTGACACAAGTGCGTACTGTTGATCGAAAATTTGAATATATTAGATTAAGAATCCAAATAGACTTAACCGAGAATTTTAACAGAAGAGAAATAAAAAATAAAGTCAATTTGTTTTTTATACAAGTCAATGAGAAGAAAACAAGTCTAACGCGTAATGAAATTTTGAATTAAATGGGAGCTCGAATTACTTCTCTCTCACATTATGAAGTTTCTAGTCAACTTAAGATTTAATATTATTAACATAAATATTTTGGAGACATTGTAATATATATATTTTTTATGTTAATAAATCTTCTATTGTTAAGCAGATTGAAAAATAATAGAAAAAAAATTATTTATATGATGAATTTACTCACCATAAAATGTAGAGTGTGCCTTGTAAGTTCCCATTTGTAAATCTCTTAATTTTGGTGGCGTGCCATTATACTTCAGAAGTTTTAAATTTTCTATTAAAAACTCATAATAGATTTCAATGAAATGATCGTATTCAGTTAAGCGAATGTCTTTAGCAGCTGATATGCTAATAAAGAAGACCAAATCTTCGGTTGGACAACCCCATTTACAAATTTGATAGTCCACAAAAAGTAATCGATCAATTGCGCCATCTGGTAAATAATTTAACATAATATTACTAGACCAAAAATCACCATGTGTAAGTACATTAAAGCCATTAACATCGATGTCCAAAGTAGCCATGCCACTTTTAGTAAATTGCTCAAAGGTGGGCTATGTTGTAAAGTAAAGTCAATTATTTCTATCTTGAAAGTAATCACTTATATAACAGTATTACGAGTATTACTTACTATTTTATCAATATAATTTTGAGCATTTTCTAAACCCCATTTTGCCATTGCTGCTTTATAAGTTGTAACTTTATTTGTGTACATAAACTCCATATCTTCATTTATCTTATCGGCATTAAAAAAACTGTACTGGAAATCTGTTGGATATGGTCCATGCTTCTGCGCATACACCGCGGAAACTGCATGTAATTCAGCTAATCTTTCTAATACACGTTTCATGTGTGCCATATCGAAACCTTTCAATCGATCTACATTCTGATAACCTCTTGGTTTCAGATCTTCAAATACTAGATTAATACGTTCATCTAAATTTTCTATAAAGAGACATTGTGGTGCCAGCTGCACCTTTTTTCCAGCTGCAACATAAAGTGCTTCAAATGCTGGTAAATATTTTTCATACATTATCTTTTCCTTGGGAAAGAGACTCATTCGATTTATTTCACGTCCGCCTTTATCTTCATCTAACATAGTTTTGAGCACATAACTCTTTTGTTTTGTGGTACCATCTATTATTTTTGAGAAGTTAGAAATTATTAGGTTAAATGAAATATTCGTAAGTATTAGAAATTGATTTACCTTACCCTTTAATTCGAAGTCCACATAGAGTCTTATCATTACTGAGGTGAAGTTTTCACCGGGGGGTATCGCTGCTACGGGCGTAAATTTCAACACTTTAACATAATCAGGCACATCTTTCTCCCATAAAGCTTTGAAGTGTTCAGCACAGATCCATTCTGGTATATTTAAATTTTCATTCGGATTTTTAATATCACCGTTTGTAGACATTGTAAATATTAGTAAATCTTTTGTAAAAACTATTGGTAATAATTTGTTGAGAACTTATCACAAAATTTTGTTAGTGTAGACCGTAAAGAAATTTCACTATCAAGAGCTACTTTGAAACTAATTTTAAATAATATTATTAGCATTTTTTATGCTTATCGGGAGCTTTCAAATATTATCTGATAAAATCTTGAAGAGCTGAATTGTAGTGTGGAGAGTAGTTCTCTTAGTTTCAAAAATATTATTTTCGTGAGAAAACTTTTAAAACTTTCAAGATTTTTTATATATCTCAATTTTGTGTTAATAATTTTTTATAAATAAAATCTCGAGAGTAGTGTAGGAAATTTATTAGTTGAAAATAAAATAAAATATGTGTAGCTCTGAGATGTTTTCAGAAGATGCGAATAATACGTGTGCTTATTTTTCCAACAGATTAAACCTAAATGAAATAGATACTTTTTGCATATCACTTTTTAAACATACCAAACCTTTAATCTATTTCTATTTAATCTAAGATAGTTTACACCAGTTGTTTATCTTAATTAGGTTTTTAAAATATTAGTTTCATTTACAAAAAATTATATTTTCTAAGAATATTTTTGTAGTGTGAAATTATTCGCAACTCGTTTTTATTCATATTTTTCAATTATTTGTTAATATTATTATAATTAATTTAATTTATATATATATTATATTTAATAGAATAATTTTTTAAACTATAAAAAAATACAATCGTTAATATTATATACCCTTATAAGCGAAAAATGGTATAAGTTGACACATTGCTTTGGCATAATGAGGGTTAGTAAAACTTTTATAACGTAAAATATCTCCTTCGTGTCCAGGTCTGAACATATTTTCTAAAGAAGACTGTTCACTCGTTGGCAACAATAAATTGCAAAGTGTAGTGTTTGCAGCAATAGGTCCTAGAGAAGTGAGAAACATTTATTAACTTACTCTTTATTTTTAAAAGAAACTAAAGTCTCTCTTACCCCAAAATCCATATTTCAACATCATCTGTTGAATATCCATCAAAGTCGGCCAGGGCTTCTCAGTTTCATATTTTAGAAGTTTTAAACATTCAATTAAATGTGCATGGTAAATAAATAAAAAATGATCAAATTCTCTTATTTTAATATCAAGTTCAGCTGATGTTATGATTAATTGCCACAAATCTTGAGCTGGTGAACCATAGTTGCAGTATTGAAAGCCTATGAATATTGCCTCATCTATAACGCCACTCTCATTATAATTAAACAAAATATTTGTATTGAATAGTTGTCCATGATTAAGCACATTAAATTCATTGGGATCCACATTATTTGACTTCAAAGCTGCTTCCATATAATCTTTAATTGTTGGCATTTTTTTTATAAAGTCTTCAACATGTGGTAAACCCCACTGGCGCATTGCATTTCGAAAATGTAATTGACGTTTCTCCGTTATTCTTTTTACCATACGTATGTTGGATGCATTACAGAAACTCTCCTGGTATAAATCAGGATATGGGCCTTGAGTTGCAAAATATACTGTTGTAGCTGCATGAAACTCAGCTAACTTCCGTAAAGCCCAACGCATGTGTAACATATCAAAACCTTTAAAGCGGTCTACGTTATGGAACTTTTTTCTGCTGAAATCTTCCAGAACTAAAACGGCATCTTCAGTCGATATAGCTGCATGCATGCATAATGGAGCCAATTTAATATTTAGACCATTGATGGATGCGTACATTTTTGTTAATACTGGTATTATATGTAAGTACATATGTTTTTCCTTCAGAAAGGTGTTACTAGGCTGTAGTTCAGTAGACTCCTTTGTATTTAATAATTTATCGGATTTTAGTAGATAAGTTGTTTTAACTATGGTATTATCTAAAATTTTTATAATGTTTGTAGTTAAACTGATTTGTTCAGTATTAAGTTTAGAGCGGGTATAGGTGAGAAATATGAATAGTGAAAAATGTGAAAAATATCAATTTTAATTTTTGATTGTTAAATTATTCATAATATTCCATTTATGTTGAGTAGAAAAAAGGATTAAAAAGGGATAGAAATAAATGATATGATTCTTACCTGTTAATTTGACCTCTAAGAGAACTCTTATAAAATCAGATCCTACAGTTTTATCAGGTGTTTCAGTTGTGATTGGAATTATAGAACTTATTTCTTTGAAGTTTAAAACCTGTTTAAATGCCGGTTTAAAAAATTCTTTATTAAGCCATTGAGGTATTTCCGACATATTATTAGAGTTTATTTCGGTGGTTGTAGTTGTGGTAGACGGCCTAGACATCTTCGCTTATTAAAATGTTACAATTGTTTTACAGCCTTGTGATAGTTAAATCAATAATACATTAATACAACACTATGAATTATTAGTTATGAAATGAACCGCGGAAATAAAGTTTGTTGTGTAAATAGTTGCTCTCAAACATTATTTTGATATTAAAATGAAATTCGTAAACTCATAACAATACTTTTATCGATATTGATAACAAAATTATCTATTAATTACAAATATTTAATATGTATGAAATAGAAAATTACTTTTAATTGATTATGTAGAATTAAATTTTTTATAGTATCAGGAAATAAAATTGGCTTAGAACAGAAAACTCTCATGATATGAAAGATAACATTTTAATAATTAAATTACATGGGTCTTAGTACAATTTTCATAACTAATAACAGAATGTAATTGCTTAACAAATAGTAAATGAGTTTCAGTTTCAATTGCTATGTTATTGTTTTTCTTTTTAATTATTGCAAAATTTATTAAAAAAAAGAGTTAATACTTTTTCAAACAAAAATACACCTAATTGAAAATAGAGTTTAACAGTTTTCTGTATATCTTATTAATATATTATGTTGAATGGATATTTAAAACTGGTATTAAACCATACTGTCCAGTTTTTATAGACCTTTCCTTATATTTGCATATTTGATATTCCCTGAATTCTACTGATACAGTTTTTATATATTAAAAATACTTATATCTAATTGAATAATATTTGATTGAAGCAGAAACAGGTCTAAGGTCATTAATAATATGATAGAAGCTATACAAAACCGCAGCAATAACAGTCTTAAGGTAAACTAAATAAAGAATATCCCCACTATTTTTTAATACCTAATAAAATGTTACGACTAATACAATTTTTATTTCCACTACTTAAACGTGTCACCACAAAATTTTACATTTTCACTCTATCGCTTTATTTGACTGTCATATCCAACTTCTTGCATCTAGAGAAAATGTATGACGGTATTCATTATTATTTTTTTATTTTCCGTCTACTTCTAATCATTATTAAATACACCATTCAAAAGAGATTTTCAAATATGCCCTAAAATGTTATATACATATTTCAGATCATAGTTTATATAATATATAAGGACAGGTTTAATGCTCGCACATTTATAGGGTTAAGCGATTGAAGTGTTACCTATTCAAGCGACCATCTCTTTTTTGTGTGAAATTATTTTTTATTTATTCTGATTACAAAAATTTGTAGAAATAATCAAAATTTAAAAAGTCCTTCACCCTAGCTCGATGTGGCCACCTTTGCTTTGACTATACCCTTCAACCGGTTAAAAAATGAGCTGCATTCTTCACGAATTTAATCTTCCGGTATTTTGGCCCATTTCTGAACAATGAGCAATAACTTTTTTCAGCGCATCCATGCTGGCATATTTTTTAGTTCACCTTGCTCACCAAAATGGCCCAAATGGAATAGTCCATCGGATTTGCATCTGGAAAATTCGAAAGCCATTGTGTGGACGAATGAAGCGTGAACATGAGTTTTTAACTATACTTGGTTCACACGAGCTTTATGATGCGGTGACGAAGCTTGTTGGAACATCCATAGTCTACGACCGAAATGTTTGCGTTTTCCCGGCTCTAAAGCAGCTTCGAAAATATTTTACCGATAATAAGTCGCATTGAATTTGAAAACAAGCCTAAATGAAAACGATTGGAGAGCGTCAAATCGTATGTCACAGCTACTTGTACTATTACTTGACATGAAAAATTACTTCGGATGGCAATTCGTAGTCTCAAACTTTCGGCAGTGCGTTCAGTTAAGTAAACACGATCATTTTAAGGTTTATGAACTGTTCAATGGTCAAATTTTTGTGTTATAATATAAATAACTTGCATTTTCTTTAATCTTACAAATATGTATTTATACTTATACATGAGGAGTGGTTATAACGAGTTATATTTGATTAGTTAGTGATAACTAAAAATAAAGGTGCAATTATTCTTCTTTTCCTCCTATAGCTCTATACTTTGTTCAGAAAATTGATTATTCAAACATCTTCTTACTACTCATTAAGTTAGGATTAGATTAAATAATGTTCAATAGGCGTTAATATCTTCATGTTACTGAATTACTGAGATTAAGTTTGGTGTCAAAATTATACCTTTCATCCTAATTTTTTTGCAGCAATCGGTTTTCTAGAAATACTTTTCCTAATTTATTTACTGATGCCTTGCATTAAACACAGGTCTTACAATAAGCGCACTACAAATGTGATTTTCAGATTATGGAATCTATGACATGTCTTTATTCGTTCCATAATTTGTCTTATTTTTGTTGAAACAACGTATACTGAAGAGTATTATAAGAGATATGAGCATATCCAATAATCTGTTGAACAGTTCCTGTGTAGGTAAGATCCTTCTGATAATATCACTACTACCCAATTTGCAAATTAACTTTGATATATCTAGGTGTTTGCAAAAGGATTCCCAGATAGATTAAATGAGTTCGAAAATTGTGTATTATTGTGATTTTTTGTAACCATTTTCAAGGATTTATAGAGAAATGCTTGGTGAATTTACCTGATTTGACTGCTTGGTTAATTGTATACGACTTCTCTGGTTTTACTTATTAATTTAAGAAAAGTGATACTAACATAATCAAAATAATTTTTATAATATCTTGTTTATCTAATTTTATGTAATTTATTTTATATCTAATCTAATTTTTATCTAATATCTAATTTTTATAATATCTAGGGTAGGTGGGTATTAAAACTTTCGTGCACATTTGCCTTATTTCTGTGTTGAGTTTATCAATAGATATAAGGTATTATTTTAAGTGGTCTGTTCCATCTACATTGATCTTAATCGATCTTAACGACTGCAGTCTTAATTGGTTAACAGCAGTCTTCTGCATTGAAGACTAAGAACGGATGGTGCTTATTTGATGTGCATTAGAGAATTTATTATATGTTAATAGAAAATTATATAGATATTACTCATATTGAAAATATGAGAACTTGTAGTAGTAATCGAATAAAACTATATCTTGGTGCTAAGGAGAACTCAAGAGACATTTTATATAATATATTCATATATAATAAAATGGCTAAAACCAGAAGCGAAATAGAGTTATTAATAATACATTTGTATCGAATACAGATACAAATCCAGTCGTGTCTATGAAGTGATTCTATAGAATTTTGCAGAATACTGAAATATTACCAACAGTAATATCCCAGTGAACAGAGATCATATCACGCGCAATTAGTCAACTATGACTCACTACATATTGTTGTAATGTTTTAATTTTTTTCATGGCAGAACCCGATTAGCTGTTGTGACTGGAATAATAGTCTACAGTTCCTCCATCTTTTTTTCTGTCAATGTGTTTGGTTCAAGCGATAAATAATTTGTTACGAAACTTAAAATATTGCGATGTTTTGAACATTTTTCATTAAAAAATAAATTGATTAAATGACCTTGATCTCGAAAATATTTATTCTGGTTGTAATTATAGTTGGTGCTTTTCTGTTCAGTTATCTACATTTTTCATTATAATATTTCATTGCTTCAATTAAGTTCTCAAATGATGTAAGCTGCTGTATGTAATTAAGTTCTCAAAATGCAATATCAAATAAAACACATTTGAATTATAAATCATGAGGGCGGTATTGTAGATATTTTTGAGTTCTAACAAAGAGCAAATATTGTTCTATTAATTGATTAATGGAGCAGTAAGCAAATTTTTACATATACTTGTTTCTTATTTTTAACTGGGAACACAGAGTTTGTATACATAATGGTAATTGAAAAATAAATTGAATGTAATTATGACTAAATTACAATTTCTGCATTAATATATTTCACTTGTTAATACTATATGCTTACATATTCAGATTATTTATATACATCCCATAATATTAATTTCCATACATAATTAAAAATAAATAATAGTGACATGAGCTTGGCTCTGTTACTTTAGATGAATTGGTCCACATTAATCATATATCAACTTTCTTGATTTTTAAAATCAAACCAAAAATTTCCAATTCAAAAAAGTTCTTCTGTATATTTTTTAAGTAATCTTATTTATATTAATTTCAGATTTAAAATAACAACAATATTCTTAAATATTATAACAAAATAGTATTGTACAATTAAAAATGTTTAAAAATTAACTGCTTAATACTGCATATAAATATACACATATTCCATATATTCTAATTTGCACTGTCAATCTTTATTTTTTTTTTTAATTATATCCAAAATTCCTTTATTGTCGAAAAATGGATACAATTGACTCATGGCTTTGGCATAATAAGGATTAATGAATGTTTTATATTTGAACTCTTCACCTTCGGGTCCAGTTTTTAACATAGTTTCCATATTAGCGTCTTTATCGGATGGGAGGAGGACAGCTACCATAACACCACCAGCAGTGAGAGGTCCTATAAAATATTAATATTTATTATCATCATAAAATAAAGTTATTATTTATCTCGGCATATTTACCCCATAAACCATATTTTAGCATCATTATATGTAGCTCTCTAAGTGTTATAATAGGTTTTTGATATTTTAAAAGATTTAAGCACTTCACTAAGTGTTTGTGATATATACGAATAAAATTATCAAATTCTTTAATTTTAATATCTAAGCTAGCTGATGTAACAATTAGATACCATAGGTCTTGTGCAGGTGTGCCCCATCTACCAACTTGATAATCAACAAAAATTGTCTGTTCAATATTTCCTTCATTATCGTGACGAAACATAATGTTATTTGCCCAAGTATCTCCGTGGTTCAGTACGTTAAATTCATTTGGATCGGTTTCATTCAATGACAGAGCTGCATCGAAGTAATCATCATTATCCGGGTATTTGGCAATGTAATATTCTACATTTTCTAGATCCCATTCACGCATAGCTCTAAAATAGGCTTGTTTTCTTGATTCAGCCATTCCTTCAAATATTGGTCGATTGCTTTCGTTGAAGAAAGTGCTGCTGTAAATTTCATCATAAGGTCCATTCAGATGATAATAAACCGCAGATGCAGCATGCAGTTCAGCTAGTTTGTGTAATACACATCGCATGTGTTCCATATCGAAACCTTTCAAACGATTCACATTCATAAACTTTTTTCTACTCAAATCTTCTAAGACCAACGTTATGCGTTCCGGAGTTTCTTCAACGTGCAAGCAATTAGCAGATAATTTTATATCAACTCCTGCCTGTTTATAGAGTTTTACAAATTGTGGTAGTAAAGTTTGGTACATCTGTTTCTCCTTTGGGAAGAGATTCATGTTTGAAACAAGTTCTGCACCTTGATTACCGCCTTCCAAACATGTTTTTAAAATGTAAGAAGATTGTGTGTTGCTGCCATCTGAAAATTGAATAAAAAAAGGCAAATAATTATTAATATACTGCATTCAAACTACCTGGAAAATGTGTTCACTTACCTTTTAGTTCTATTTCCATTATAACTCGAACCATTATTGAAGTATAATTCTCTCCGGGTGCAGTAGCAGCAATTGTTGTAAAATTAACTATTCTTACGAAATCTGGTATATCTTTTTCTAGTATGGGAATAAAATAGTCTTCATTGATCCATTTTGGTATTTGCAGATATTGATTAGGATTAATGGGATCATTGTCATTATTATTAGGTGCCATAATGAAAGTTTAAAGAAGATCTAAAAATACAACAAAACTTCTAGTTAAATTCTTTTAGATGATTGAAATGATTTATAGTTCCAAATATGATAACTTTAAAGTGATTTTATAAAGATTTATGTATAAATGCAGATACTTTCAGTTATTTACTGCATAAAATTTTGCCTTTAAAATATACAATAGTTTCTTCAGAAGTTTTAAAATGTAAGTCTTGAGTTTTACAATGTTCAGATTAGTTATTATTTATAAATACATCGAACATTTTCATTTCAGATGGCGAAGTTCTAAACCAACTATTCTTGAACATTATGACTAAGTCAATTCAAAAGCGAATATCAGTATGACTTCATATTTAAGGGCTACTCTACTTTACATATTATATGCCTGATATTTGATCATTTTCTACATAATCGAATATTTTTTTAATTATAATGACATATTTACTTTCGTAACTGTGACGCTTGCAAAAAACACAAAAACAGATGGAATAACAATAACTAAGAAATTTATTATAATCAATGAAATTATTACGATAGATTATCTACCGTCTATCTTATATGAAAAGATATCTCTAACTTTCAAGTTAAAAGTATAGACACATACTTCAGTAAAAGTACCAGACAACTGAAATTGTGATAAGGTTATCGTATTTGAGATAACAATATATAAAGTAGTAAAATGTGTTTAATCTTAGTTTTCGCAAATCATTGCATTTTCATATTCTTAATTTTTGCAAATCATGCAATTTAAATAGTCTTTTCATTCATTGAGGCTACTACTAGAGTAAGTTGTCTTTCTTACAACCCTTCTCTAGTCAGTTATTTATATCAAGTCGTCTCAAATTAGTTTTCATTCTATGAAGCTGATAGGATCAGGAATCTAGATTAAGGAAACAAAATTTTCAGGAACCGTTTCTGTGAGACTTTCTTTGGACTTCAACGTTCATATCCTTTGATAAAACGACATTCATAATAATTGTTCTTTTGTTCCTTTTGGTACTGCATGATTTTTATTTGGTTTCTGTTGAATTAAATATCCTTACTTCACACCTATAGATAAGTACAGAGTTTGTTTTTTATACGTATATTTCAATCCTGTAGATCCGAGTTTTGAATTAATATGTTTTTAAAAGACTAATAACTTTGTTGGCGAATATAAGAACCTGTAATGTTGTATTAACGTTATTAATTGGAAACTAAGATTTCCTCTAACTTTTTCAAATTCACTTAATGAACAGTTCTGTTGAGATGTCATTGTCTTGTTGGACTCCACATTTAATATCGAAGGTCTGCTTTTCTGTATTCATACTACGTTATTACATTCTTCTGTACTCATATTCGATAGTATCATAATCTTGTAGAATTTTTTAAACTAATTCATACTGTTTCATATATTTTGTACTAGGTATTGATTACAATCTCGTTAGTCTTTTGAAAAGTCTCAATGAAATTAAATATCTAGTCTATTCTGAATATGTTCTACAACTACCTTGATCATCATCATCATCATCAGTTCCTGTATCTCCCATTGGAGCATAGGACTTCCAACTACTTTGATAATAAATGACAATGTTTGAATATACATTTAGTTGATTTGCAATCAAAGTAATGAGTAGTTTATTGCCACAAAGAAGTATGATATATCGACGTAATACTGTATTCAAACTTGCTACCTTTCTGGAGTAGGCCATAAAACAACTAACATTATAGAGGTATTCACTCTGTCTTGCAAACTCATTCTAAGATACACGAAATGCACAAAAAACACGAGCTTGCAATAGACAACAACAAAATACACACACAAAGTTTCTTGCAATTGGTTGCAATCTTGCTATACGTAAGCCCATGTATATATGCTTGTAACGAAATAAGAAAGCAAAAAAAACAGCTGTTTTGACATCTGTTGTTTCTCATGTGAATTTAATGTGATGCACATTAAAAAATGTGCTGTTTCATTTTGATGTTGCAATTCTGCAACATTGGTATTCTCGCACTCTTGCAATTTTAGTATAGTATTTATGCAGTTCGTGAACCTTGCAATGAGTATGCAAGACAGAGTGAATACCTATTATACTGTGCTGGTAATTTTTTTAAGGAATCAGTTTTTCTCAATAATTCAGACATCACTTGTGTCATCGTGGAACCCCCATTTTTAGTAACTTGATCTGAACAGTATTTTTCTCATTAAGATTTATAATTTTTTTTGTTCCAATAAAACGTCTTAAACATTTTTAATTGTCGGCAGTGGTACTTCAGTTTCGTCCGTAAGGTTTTCTTGCAACACTGGGATCTTTGCATCTGACTTCAGCGGTTGGATACTTTCTCTTCGCAGTATTTTCCTGTATTAATGTAGCATTATATCAGAAGTACCAGAAGTTCTTACAAAGTAGTCCAGGAGCGAATGAAAACGTTTCTTAATAAGTTCAATTTGCTTTTATGTATATATGTTTACTTTTTTGAACCAGATTTCTCTTGGCTCAACGAAGTGAAGTTGACGCCATTTAAGAGTTTTTAGGTATATCTTTTTTAGTTATTTTTAGTTAATAGTTGTGGCATAAATTTTCTTGTCAAGTTTCTTATTATTAATAAAGTATCACTATCTTTATCTTACAGGTCGACAATGTCTTCCCGAATTGTATTTAATAGGGACAAGAGTTCATTTTCCTATTGGCGTCTCTCTTGATGATTTTGGGATTGTATAAGAAAGTTTTAACCGTTTAACCGTTTAACCGTCTTGATAGCTGTATCTCAATTATCTAATGTTCAAGTAAACTAAACTATATTAGTTTAATCTCTAATCTCAATTTTTAAATTGCAAATAATAAAAAATTAAATTTCCTCAAAAATTGGTATAAAATGGAATTAATTGGCAATTTTTCTATTTATTTTCAAGATTTCAAAAAGTAATAATTGAATATTTCCTTTCACAGAAATTTATAATAAATTAGTAGTGGGTTTCAATAGAGCAGATTTTTTTTTTATTACAGAAAATTTACTTAACTTACATAAATTTTTTTATAAGCAACTCTTTAAAGTAATATTAAGTTTAGTTAAAAATTTTGTAAAATTTATTTTTATCTAAATTTAATACGAATAGATTTGTATACTTTATAATTTGAATAATATTTATTATTTTTATTTGTATGATAAACTTTAGTTTATTTTGACTTTGCAATCTTAAGTTCAAGTTCATTAAAAATTCCAAATATTTTGTTCAGTAGAATCTACTAATAAAAATGTATAATAGAGTGATTATTATTTTTATCTTAATCCGTGACTTAATAATTTTTTTTTTGTTATTCCATACAAATACAGATTTCAGAAGTTTTTATTCACAAATTCAATTTCTCCAGTATTTTTGAGTTTAGCGAAAAGTGACTCTTATACTGACATTAATGAAAGTCTTATTTAATGTCATTATTATTTTTTTTTTTGGCTGAATATATGCTTCATTTACTTACACTATATATATTTTATTAAAATTAATATTAATTTATTTTTTTTTTAAACCACGAACACTTGATTTGTCAACACGCGCGTATAACCGTCACCGCACATAAAAACAATGTATCTGAAAGTAAAAAACGTTTGGGAGCTTCTAAAATACTAAGCGAACTGGCAGTCGAGCAGTGCTTTTTCAGTGTAGAACTACAAAAACTTGTGAGTGTATTTCATCATTTTTTTTAATGACGTTGTTAAATTTACTTTTATAAATTAAAAAAGGGAATATCAAATATTTTGTTATCTCTAAGCCATTAACGTAAAACTAATTTATCGATATTTTATGATTTCATAATTTTAATTACTATGATTATATATTTAATACACTAAGTTTTTTTTATTCTCCTGCGACTCTGTACTGAGAATTTAAAGTCAATACTAGATTATTGCTCTTCATTAGATTCATTTGGCATTGACATTGATATACTGGCATGAGTATTTTGTCAGTTGGAACAATTAATCAGACAGATAGTTGATTTGTTGATTTCTACAATATAGTGTTAGGTCAGTACACTGCCTCATTGTCTACATCTGCTTAGATAAATATAATATCAGTCTGTTGACATTTTTGTGCCTTAACTCTTTTAAGATATCGTTCATCTATTCTAGGTAAAAAAATGTTTTTTTAAAATTTCAAATTTTTATTCAATCTTGAAATATTTCTTTAACAAGTTTAACCGGTACTCTTAAGATTTGGGAAATTAAAAAAAAAACAATTTCAATTTTTAGCCAAAAATTAATAATCGCATGAAATAGTAAATATGTATATTTTTTATATTAGTAAGTTAATTAATTTTGATTCATTGTTTTTTTATTAAAATCTCTTCAGCCATTTTACACAATTCTCAATTGAAAGTAAATTAAATTCGTCATGAAGCTTGTAAATCAGTCAATAAGATACTGAAAATATATGGTAAATATACATAACTAACTTCCTGAGATGAATTAGACAACTGACATGCATGTTGGTATCGGGCGGCCTGTCTGTTAGTATACAAATTACATGTTCAGTTTTAAAGATAATCAAATAAATTTTTTAATACTACTATTTTTAAGTGATTCTGATCTGCAATTTTAGAAAATTATTTATTTAATATATTTTTTCCAATGAACACATTACAATATTTGAAATTAAATTTGGCTTGTTCTTAGAAAGCTTTGTAGCTTATAAGTAGCTTAAAGTAGCATAACTGTGAGTAGAGATGGAGTAAATCATATCTAAATTATATGTGGAAGGGTGATATCCTTTATATCAGCGGTGAAGGGGTTAGAATATTCCCGAGGTGAGGCATACCTGTCGTAAAAGACGACTAAAATTCCGGTACCACGCCGACACTTGTACAAAAAGTGTACATGATAGTAAGTGACTCGACACTTGCTACACTTGACCAGAAGTGTAAATCTGGTACTGCCCAGTTGAGGTCAAATGCGTAGTTGCTGTGGTTAATACCTAAACTTACGCAGGTAAACTGATTTATTTCATTCGGCGTGGAGTTGCGTATTCATCACCGGGTGCTGTGACTCAAATATTAGCAGAGGTATGTAGGTAGGTCTCGCACTAAACCAAGGTGGAAGTTATGTTTTACACACATTTCTTCATTGGTACCGGCGTTGGTTGACGCTTTGTGTTAAGATGCGTGTTTTTGAACGCCACACTGTTAAGCCTCCACGGCATAGAACGTTACGTGAAATAACAATAGAGATCTAGATCCTTTATCTAGTACAGGTAACAATTCTTGCAACATAACTTATTTTAATTACAACAAAAAACAAAGGCAAAACATATTCTTTTGAATAAAATTACACTGAAAAATAATTATATGAATATTTCAGCACTTATTTAGTGGCCTCACCTATAGTGTCTTCTTTTAAATAAGTAAGTATATGTATAAAACAATTTTCAAGTGGTTTGATTAACCAAACAACTATATTTAATAAACATAGCTTAAAAAAAATAAATTACTAGATTCTCGATAAGTACATTAAGTCACTTTGTTTCAGTTATCTTTGAGCTAGTACAATTCTATAACCAGTTGGAATCTTTAGGTGGTTGGTTGGTTTGAAGTGACAGCAGAGTTTACACTTTACCAACTGCAATACAGTAATATTTTTTTTTTATAGTGAGAAGAAACAAGAGAGATATGACTTAAGTTTTCTGTTAAGTTTTACTTTACCCACAGAGCAAAAATGATCAATGTGGAAATCTTTTCAAGAATCTTGTCGAAAAGCTGTAATTATACCATATAGGAAAATAAATTATAAAAAAATGTTTAATTAAAAATATAATAAGACGGGCTTGAATATTTCATTTTGGTTTTTTCAAATTCATTATCTGATTGTGAAGAATAATATAACATTTGTGGTGTTTATTAATTCACTGTTTGGTTGATGAATTGAAGTTCCTAATCAGCAGAAATCATTTTGCTTTTGCGATTGTTTATCCTCCTAATACTACGGTCTTTGATGTTAACCTTTTTAGACAATACTAGATCCATCCTGTGGAGTTTAAAAAAATTTAGCTGATGTTTTGCGCTTATCGACGAACAGTCCAACAAACTAATAAGAACTGACATCTATTGATGGTTGCTACATTGTTCGAAATCTTAAATGTAAATAATATAGAATTATGATGAAGTCGAATATATTATGCTAAAACGTATTAAGGAACAGTCAGTAACAAAAAGATATGATACGACTATATACGATGATAATCAATTGTAATGTGCAATTTTTTTAAATTATTTTTATAATAATTTGATTTTTTGCTTCAAAACAAACTTTTAATATTAATTTAGTTTTTAAATTATTTTTTTTAATTATACCTTCACAATAAAAAATGCAATCTTAGCTATTTGAACTTTGAAACTAATCAATTAAAACATGAAACATGCAAGAATAACTTATCCGATCGATAAGGGTTAAGAGGCATGTAAAAAAAACTTTACATATGTATATATGTAAATCTATTATAATAAATCATAAATCCAAATAAATATCCAATTAATATAAATATATCAATTTTTTAATTAATAATTAATAATACAAACAAAATATTTAATTTATATATTTTTTAGATATTATTTAATATGTAATAGTTTTTATTTTACAAGATATTTTGAATTATTTACATACAAAAAAAGGTTAATTGGAGCTCACGACGTCGGTAAAGCAGTTAATTTAAAACAAACCAGAAAAAACCGTTCATCAGCGACCATTAAAGAGTAATTAAATGTCTTAAGGATTAGTTTGTTTTGTGATTTTGCTTTAATCGGTACGTTTGCAAAAAAAAAAAAAATCGGTTCAATAATTTCGGTGTGCGGTGTTTATTTATTTAAATAAATGAAATATTTAAAGAATATAATTAAATAAATAAATCATTTTAATAAACTGCAAATTAATTGAATATGAAGTCTGAATATTCTTATTTCAATGAAGTTATATTTAAGTGATAAGTTTACACAATTTTTTAGTAAACTCATACGTAAACAATAATATATAAAAATCCTTTTATTACTTAATTTTATTGTAAAAACATAAATTAGGTCTAAAAACATTTTCAAAATTCTAATGATTTTAATTTAAAAACGCATTTATAAAAAAGATTTTTAAAAATTAAGAACAGAAAATTAATATGGCGTTCATGTATGGCAATTCAAAAATTTGCTCACAATACAAAAACAACAAATTGCTAACTGCCAATTCAATGATGCAGGCAGAGCAGAGCCGCAGCAGCGCTGCATATTCAATGGTCGAATACGAAGAAGAATGTGTGAAATACAAATTGCTAACTGCCAATGCAATGATGCAGGCATAGCAGAGCCGCAGCAGCGCTGCATATTCAATGGTCAAATAGAAAGAAGAATGTGTAAAATAGATTTAAAAATTTCTTTAGTGGTGTCGAAATTGGTGTTTTGTTTTAGTAAAAAGAATCGCTGTTGCATTAGCAGTAAATTTTGAAAATATTAAATTCATTTAAGTAAATTTGTTCTATAAAATGTAATTTGCATAAGATTATTATTTATTGTGTGTGAAAAATTAGATTTACTTTTTTATTTATTTGGTCAAAATATTTGGAACATACAAATGTCCAGTACATAGAGGTAAGTTCTTTTTATATTTACAGTATTTCATGCTTAAAACGTTCTAAAGGAGACTAAAGAAATCATTCGTTTTATGCAAAATTCGTTTTAAGTAAAACCTAAATAAAACAATTATTAATACGAGTAATAGGTGGTAAACCAGTGATGAAACTTGTCATCACTGTCATATTAATAATCTGATTTCAACAAAGTTCCTTGGCAGATATCCAAATCTCAGATATAGATCCTTTAAAGCTGCTGTCATGATTTGACGAGTATTGGATTCAGTTTTTATATTTGTTGCATATATTGTATTATGGGTCATTCTTTTACAAATCGGACACCTTTTTGACCCCATGATCTCCGATGAGGCATTGTAGATACATTTTCAAATGCCTATATCTCAAGTTCTATAAATGGTAGGAACTTGAAATTTACTGCGTTTTAAAGATAATCACTCGGCATTTGCTAAATAGCAATCACTCGGACTGTTTGTTGTAATGAGACTATAACTTAAGGACTGATGATTGACAGAACCCCTTAGACAAATAAGATTCCAAAGATAATGTTCACATATAAAGGATTCTCAGATGTTATGTTTAGTAAATAGCTTAATGCATTAAAAATTCTTAACATACGAGTATAATTATGTATTTGTTTCTGCTCCTACTTATCTGTGTCTTTAATTTCTGTGTTAAAACGTACAGCATTTCTATAAATAATATTTATTTCTCTGCAGCACAATTATAGTAATTTGTCTGCGCATTTACATACTTGTGCCGATTTATTTATGACCATCCTTTTTGGTCAACTCTTCAATATAATAAATTAAATAGATAATAATAGAACATAATAAATATAATAAATAAATAGAACAAAACAAGGTTAAATATTACAGACCTAACGATTTTTTGTAAGTGGCTATTGTTAATGAAAAGGTCACATTTTTATAAATAAAACATGATTTTTTATTTTTGACTGTGAAGATTATACTAAACAAGGTCCATAT